TAATAATAATAATTTGTGGCTTTACTGATGATGACCTTTGAGAAAATACAAATTATTATTCAGTATCACTTTTCATTAGAGTTGTATTTACCAGTTGCATTGATCTTAATACTTGTGTTTTTATTGTAAATTTCAAGATAAAAATAAAAAATAAAATAGAAACTTTGCTTTAACTGTATAAACAAAAGCACAGTTCAGATTTCTTAGTTTTCACAGGTTGTATTTGTTTATCCTTCAAACCACTAACTTTGATAACCACAGGAGTGGGGCACTTMTGTTTACTGCAGAAATTAGACTGACAATACGCTCAACTGCTGGAGCTTAAGCCTTTGGATTTGGACAGAAAGAAAAATGTTTTTCCTTCCCACAGACGCTAAAGTTGTTTTTGATGTTGAAACACAATTTCTGTCTTGCTTTTATTTGTTAGGATTTAGCCGAGCGTTTCACCAACGGACAATAACATAATTGTTTCACATCAATGTGTTCAACCGCTGTGTTTTCACCAGAGCTGGGTCAAAATGTCATTTTAAAATCCCTGTGGGTTTTACCAAGAGAAGTAGGAAAACACTAACAGGCCAGTTTATACCTATAGTCCCATATGATGTATATGCATTCTCTGCAGCATGGAGCTTTATGAAAACAAACCAATTTTTTTAGAAAAAGCTTTTAGTCCAGCTTCATCTAATCACCCCTCAAGCACATATGGCAGCATATGTAATTCTCTGCTCTGTTTTTTGTCTGCAGTGCCTCCAGTGTTGTCAGTTTTCCAGCCGTCCTTTAACGCCACCGCTGACTACCAGGAATCAGTCACCTTTACTTGCATTACTTCTGGATCCCCTGATCCCACGGTTACATGGCACAGGTAACCCCTTACATTCTTCAACTCATCATTTTTCAACCGACAGCCTTTGAAAAGAAAATCACGAGTACCTGAAATAGGGAATTAATACAAGTAGACACCCTCAAGTGGAGCCCATTCTAAAACCACCAGCAGTAATCTGCTATAATAGTAGCTTGCACTCTTCTGGGAAAGCTTCCCATAAGATKTTGAAGCCTGGTTGGAGGGATTTCCTTCCATTTAGCCAGAAGAGTATTACTGAGATTCAGCACTGATGCTGGGCGATAAAGTCTGGCTTGCACTGGCGTGCCAATATCCCATTAGGATTGGTCTATGTCAGGGTTCTCTGGAAGTGAAATCTCCTCTACCAAACTAGAAAAAATATTTTAATGAGTCTGTTTTTGATCACAGTTAAAATAATCTAGCTGTTTTTAAGGTAGAAAAATGAAATTAGCTTGGCAAAAGTAAAGTAACACATGTAGTTTTAAACCAAAGTTGGTAAATCTCAGTATTTTAAATTTTAAAAAAGCAATGTGCTGTTGTATAGTTTGTGTATAGCATCATTAAAATGAACACAACATGAATTTGTCATCATCTAAAATGATTGCTAATGTATTTAGCATGTATGCATGTTTTGGACTGCATTGTTTAATTGTTCCAGCTGAGGAAGTTTTGTAATCCGCCCTCACACATCGCCCTCAGCAGCTGCACCAAAAAGATCAAATGACACACAGCATGGAGTGAAAATGTGAACCTGAAGAGTATTTGACACTCTGCTATCCTCTTTGCTGCTCAACATAAAGTAATTAGCTCGCACCCACTCAGCAAGCAATCGTGACGAGCTCTTTGCACCTGGGCATCTGTTTATAGCACTTTATTTGGATTTCATTGAAGGTCACATTGTTTCCCTATAATGCGTTTCACTTCCTTTTCTTTCTTTCTTTCTTTCTTTCTTTCTTTCTTTCTTTCTTTCTTTCTTTCTTTCTTTCTTTCTTTCTTTCTTTCTTTCTTTCTTTCTTTCTTTCNTTCTTTCTTTCTTTCTTTCTGTTTTGTCCGTCCTAATGAAATGCAGACACATTTTTTTACACAATAATTTGCATCACTGCTAACAGCAAAGATGGGGGAAGAAACAGTTGAAATTCTGATGCAGTTTCTACCTCCACATGCTTTACATACTGTGCTGAACTGAATGGAAATAAAAGGCGGTCGGGAGAACTCCAGGGAAATGTTCAAAAATATGTTTTTTTAAAGCAAACTGTAGAATATTTAAATTTGTAAGAAAAGTGAAAAAATTTAGAACATTTGGCAGCATTTGTTAAAGAGTCAATATTGCCTGTTTTTTATTAGATTGCATCACATCAAGGTTGGCTTTTTGTTCAGTTGACTTTAAAAGTTAACACAGCAGCAAATCYCAGATTTTTAATGCAGTATAAGGTCAGTATACCGACCTAGTATGACACAATACAATAAGCATTACAATATATATTTTATTATGTTATAGAAAAATGTTACTATGAAAGTATATAAACACTACAATATGATAGTCTTGCACATTATGATACAAATCAAAACTATACAACAAAATACAATGTTTTGTGATGTGAATACATTATAATACAATACCTATACAATATATGATTTATTGCAATACCAAACAATATCAGGGCTCTAGACTAACCTTTGCACTGACTGCACACAAATTAGGTGCACCCAAATTTTCATCTKTCACATTTAACATTGCAGTTTTATTGGTTTTCTTTTTTATTTATAAATCACTGACCATCAAGACACACTAAGATCAACTTGTAAAAAATTAGTTAATCTAGTAAACATAACRTTCTTTATGTGGATCAGAAATGTACAAGATACAGTATATAACTTACTAAAAAAATATTTAAAGTGATTCTATGATCTGAAATTTGAACTTAAACATCTCAAGTTAAATTAAAATAATTAAATTCTAAATTATGAGTGCAAATGTTTAAGGGATGAACATCTTATAAACATGTCAAACTGAACATTCCATGATTAAATGTTTTTTATGGTGCGTTCCATTTACTTTATATTCCAGGAACTGGTAAATGTTAGTGACGTCATTTCCCAACAAACCACATGAAAGTTTGCATTCCAGTCAGCCGACAGGTGATTGTGCTGTTGCTGCTAACCTAGCTACAACACTGCGACAATATAAACAATGACAAAAAGAGAGATCTACTACATATGTCATGCAAATAAACATTGATTTTAACACTTACAGTATTGCACAGAAAACGCACTACTTGTACGAGTGATTAAACATGCACAAAAAATTAATAAAGATAATTAACAGTAAAAGTTACGGAGTTAACTTTCTAAAGCTGCGAGTGGCTGCCATCTTGAAATCGAAACTGGGGGCAGTTTCATTTCTTCCACTTTACGAGTGGAATGTTACCACGAAATGGTGGTGGAATGGTGCATTCCAGTTTAAATCTACCAAAGGGAACAGGGAATTTACCACTTCCCAGGACTACTGGAACGCACTGTTAGACTACACATGCTCCTCAGATAACCAACTCCTGTAGTTTGGCCTTCTGGTTCTTTCGCCATGGCTAAACCAGCTTTTTGCACTCTCCCTAGCATCAAAACCCTCCAGACCTGGGCCCTCTGCTCTGATTCTTATCAGATCTTCCACTGTGTCTGAATGAAGGGATGCTCTGATATAACTAAGTTCTTCAGTTTTCAATAAAGTTTTGGGGCCAAAAAAAAAAACACACACAAAACAAAAAAGCTAAGGCACATTTTACTATTTGTCTTGTGATCATCTCCACTGATGCTCTAAAGATGTTCCTCTTCCTGCTCACGTCACGTCTGGACTTTTGTAAACATTTTCACTTTGAGGACTCAGTGGAATATTGAGTGTAGTGAATGTTTTTAAAAGCCACAGGTGAGCAGTGCGTGTGTTTGTGTCACTGTGAGAGCAGCACACCCAGGCAGCATAGAGACACAGAGGAGTGGAGTTGGAGAGGAGAGGAGGGGCATTTTAAGTGTTTGTATGTGAGAGGGACATGTCTTTTGGACATTATGAAAATATGGAACAAATGACTGGTCACAACAGTGTGACCAAGAAATCACATTTCATTTGCCACCAAATTGGTCAAAATYTAGAGCCCTGAATACCTTCCGGTACAAAATTGTGCTATGTAAATACAGCTTGGAAAAAAATTATAGGGTGAGTCAAAATTCCCAAGAAAATGAAATACAGTATCTGAACACCCCAGCAACACACAGACACGCTGTGTTCAGCACAGGGACAGAATAGTTAACAACCAAATAAGGCGCAACAATCAGTTGTTTCAAATTTATGTGTTGTTAACTTTTGAAATATGAGCAATATTTATATCTGATTGCAGCAATCCATTTCTGGGACAATTCCAGTCTTCTTTGATACTACATATACAGCAATTTATAAAAAGAAATGGTCAGTTTTAACCTCCATATTGGAAAATTTTGATTTTGATCCAATATGGCAGCTTTAAAGATGGTGGCCATGTTCTGGCCAGTCTAAAAAACAAGTCCCCTCATCCTTTACTTGTTGGGGGTTTCAGATATTTAATTTTCCATTTTGTTTCTGAAATAAACAAAATCCTGATACTTTTCACCCATTCTGTACCATACAGTGTTGTATGAAGTGGTATAAAATGATACAATATGCCACATTTCAATTCAATTTTCATTCTAGAGGAATCTGTTTTGGTGTCAGTGCAGGCCAAGATTATAAAAGAATACAATTAAATATTTTTTCTTAGTGATATTTAAAAACTGTATCTTCTTAATGTTTTTAGTTTTTATCTGCTACTCAGCAGGCATTTTTGACATGCAACTATTATATACAGTATTTATACACACACACACACAC